ATGTGAAAGTAAGCATCCTTCAGATCGATGGATGTAGCGCACATCCCTGGACGCACTGACGCAATGATGCGTCGTGGCGTTTCCATCTGGAAGTGCGGGGAATCGACGTACGTGTTGAACGTACTGAGGTCGATAATAGGCCTCCAGGCACCAGACTTCTTCTTCACGAGGAAGACCCGGGAGTAAAACCCTGGAGACCACCGGTCCGGTGAAAGTTCCTCGATCGCGCCCTTCGCGATCATGGCCTGAACCTCCGACCTGAGAGCCTCCACATTTCCCGGATCGGAAGGAGAAGGATCCCGAAGGAGCGGGATGCAGAGACGAAATGGGACAGCCGACCACCTACTGGCAAGTCCGGAAGGGGCCAATCTAGCCCTTCCCAAACCACATCGGCGGAGCCTCCCGCGCCCAAGCGGCGACAGACAGTGGACAAGGAGTTAGCAAGGGCAAGGAAGAGTCAGGAACCCTTCCTACCTCTGGAAAATTTGGCTTTGCCTCGACCCCTATGGGAACCCCTACCGCGAAAGGAAGATTTCCGACGTTCTGCCGGAGCGGAAGTCGGAGGGTTAGCCTGCTGCTGAAAAGCAGCCGTCTTTGCCCTCTTCCTCTTACGCCTGGAGGAGCCAGAAGCCTGCCTCTTCCTGCTAGCGCCCTTGCCTGCCGAATTGTGGCGTGCATCCTCAGATGCAAACGGGTCCAACCTCATCTAAGACTACACTGACTGGGTCGTGGATGCGGTACGTATCTGCAGCAAAATCTGCGATATCAGCAACCACGACCTGTAAAGCCGAGAGGGAAAAAGGCTTGCGAGCCTTGCTCACCTTCTGCTTTAATAAAGCGTTGACCTGAGCGAGGGACGAAGCCACGCCTCGTCCCTCCGCAAGAGACCTAGCAGAGGCCGAGGAGGCAGATGCTAGGGGAGGCAACATGCTCTGAAGGAGCGAAGTGCGCTCCAGGACGGCCGAATCCGAGGAAGGGCGTGGGCAAACCCCGTTCCCCAGAAGCTTCATAACTTCTGCACGTAAAGTGCGAAACGAAGCCGAAACCTCTGGAGGCACCGGATCAGCATCTCGGGGCCGGGATTGGGAAACATCGGAAGGGCCTTCCGAGTCCAACCCAGACGAATCCAACGACTCCAAATCAGAGTCAGTATACTCGCCGACTCTATCCTCATCCCGAGTCTTCGTAAAATTGGAGCAACCGGGAGAGCCCCGAAGAACGTCCCTCTCATCACTAGGAGAGGCACCCGCCGAATCCACCTCCATCAACGTCACCCTCCGAGGAGGGGTGCGAGAAGGGAAAAGAGAACGTGACCTACCCGAAGGAACTATCGGGGCAAGCGATAGTCCCCGAGAGACAGCAGGAGCAGGATCAAGATACTCTGGAACCTGCTGTAATGCAGGACAGCGGAAGTTACTGGTAGACTCGAATTCTACTAAATAGGAGCTCGAGACAACGCAGCACGACCAGCAGCCCTAGCATCACGCGGTCTCTGCCTGACAGAACCGGCAGCAGAAGCTGGCCGGGAGCGCGAACGCTTACGCGAACGGCTCGGTGGCGGATGGAGGGGGGACCCATCGCCGCAGGCAAGAAGGCGGGGGGGGGGGCATATCCAGGCTGGAAATCCATACCACCCTGGGGTGGACGGGGAGCGGCCGGAAAAGCCCCCTGCTGGGAGAAACCCCAAGACTGCCCATAGGCGGTCGGTGGTTGGGGCGGAGCATAAAAAGGAGCCTGTTGACCC